TATCCAGTGTTTCTTCTTTTTGGAGATTTTCAGTGTCTGTCTAACTACAGTACAAACTTGAAAGGCCCCTGGCTTGATCATCGGTATGTTTGTCAGTCCATATTGTCAATAATTTCAAAGCTCAAATTAAATATTTATGATACTGTTGATTTACATTTATTACCTACCGAGTAATTAATGTCATGTTATATAGTTTATGGTTTAATGGTTGTCTAACTCAAACCGGTCTATAATATAAACTATAAAAATACAGAATATATGATCAAAATAATTGCAGAGGAATTCAATTTTTTGATTGCGAAATTCATTACAGTGTATTGACATATCCAAAATATACATAATTATGTTCACTTGGTGTTGTTTACTTGTAACTTCCCATTGTTATTTAGGACTGCAACTGATCAGTCTCTTGTTGGCATATGTGCATACTGTGCGAACTACCTTGATATTGCTTGAAGTCACAAGTTTTATATGCGATGACGGATAGTGACTAGCAGTGGAATCCAGTTTGACACGTGTTTCGTCCTATTATGGGACTTCTCGGCAGTGCGCATCCACAATCCCGCCTTGTGAGATTCGAACCCAAGACCTACCAGTCTAGCGCCAAAGCCCTTAACCGATAGACCACTGAGCTGTCCGGCATCCAACGGTGTTAATGTCTAACTTCAACCAATCCACAAAGTTTGAGCAACCGTTCGCCGTTGGATGCCGGACAGCTCAGTGGTCTATCGGTTAAGTGCTTTGGCGCTAGACTGGTAGGTCCTGGGTTCGAATGCCACAAGGCGGGATTGTGGATGCGCACAGCTGAGGAGTCCCACAATAGGATGAAACGGCCTTAAAGCAGTACTTCCAGGTTTTCCAATGTGGTCTAGCTTCAACTGACTCATGATTTCATCTATGAAAAATATCTAAGCTATATGGTTTAACTAAGAAGTTTCTATTGTTCATCTGAACAATAATATCAGTATATACTTTGTGTAGAAATGAGCATTTTAGTTATTCTACAAGAGTTAAATCCACTGACTTTAATTATCTTCTTTGTAATTAATTATTTTTGTAGGTTTTGTTGTCTTTATTTTTCTTTCGTCTTCAATTTGCTTTTCATATTTTGATTGATCTCTGGCTTTGAACTGATTGCACGACACAATTTGTCATCACTGATATCAATACACCGTGGACATGTCTAGGAAACTTTAGAAATACTATCAAATTTCTAGTAGCATTGGATTCATATAAGTTTCAATAAGTAGTCACATCTAGATAGATAAGAAAAAGGTTCAATAATCTCTACATCAGAAAGTGAAGAAGAATCAAGTGAATATGTGATGATAATTGCTCATAGTGAAGTATAGAAATATGAACAAGTTTTTACATCAGTTCTGGTGTCGAAGTCGGTTTATTGATTTTAAGACAGATTCAAAATTGAAAAGAAATGGATTAGGAACAAGTAAAAACAGATGAGGATTTCAAAAAACTGAATTAAACTATGTTGTGTGTTACTGATGTTGACAGATATAAGTACTATGTATCATTAATCGTAAGTGAAATGTCTGGAGGCAGAAGATTGAGTAGAAGAGAAAGAGAACAGCAAGTGGTTAGTATGGAAATAGAGAAACGTCAAAGTGTGATACAATTGATGAACATTTTGTAATTGAATTATTTACTGTATGATTCTCATATTTTACCAAGATATTCTGTAATGTTATATCAAAACACATTTGTTTGTTGAAAGCATGAGTCAATTGAAGCTAGAACACCATGGGAAACCTGAAAGCACTGCTTTAAGGCCGTTTCATCTTATTATGGGGCTCCTCAGCAGTGCGCATCCACGATCCCGCACTCGCGGGATTCGAATCCAGAACCTATCAGTCTCGAGCCAGAGCCCTTCTCAAGCTAGCTCTATGACTTGTTTCGGTTTTATGTTCAACTAAAGAAATGCATCATTGTTTACTCCATGTATTTATCTCAGATCATGATTCTATATGACTTTTTGAATAACTCTATATCATTATTTATAGTTGTCATGAGTTGATGTTTAGTGACCAATTACGAAAAAAAGATACTCGAGACAATGCTACCCATCAATCTGTAGACTCATCCTTAGGCTACCATATTTGACCAAACAATGATCTCCTGGGTTTCCTATACATGACGTTACAAATCAACTATCGATTTAGAAATCACTGGAGAGTGAAATATTTTACACATGACAGTGTGAGTTAGATTTCTATCAATCATTCGAGTTTGTTTTTATCCCGCCAAATCATTACACATCATTCAATAAGGCAGTCACGTCTAATATTCTTCTGACTATCACAGTGCATTTGATATTTCCAATGTTACAACAATGTGATTAAGATCTGTACAATATAGAAATGTGTTAAATTTGTGCTTATATATGTCATAAATTGACCTAAGCACGTTTACCACTAAAATCTTGTCAACTCTAGACAGTTATTTTGTCTTGGTGTGAGACTCTTACGTAAAAGACATTCACAATCCCACAAGGAATAGAACCTAGGAAGTTCAGATCTCTCAGCGAATCATTATTTATTACATTGTCAGTGTTGACATGTGACTTGATCATATATGTTCAAACTTTATAGATCACCCTTTTTCTGTAATTATACATATGTATCAAGAATACTGTTTATCATATATAGTATTGATTTTCTTTTGAAAGAGAGAAATTGAAATCTATTCGACCTCTTAGAAGTTCGAGTTATAAACCTTTGTCATCATGTGAATCAATTGGTAATTATGGAGAACGTAGATCAAAAAAATAATGTATGCTCAAATATGTTTTAAAACATGTAACTATAGTAACCAGCTTCAGTTATAATTCACTGACATTTAAGCAGCGAGTTTCTTTTTTCCATAGTATCCAAGTAAATAGAATATTCGATTCATTAGAAGATTGATTATGAATACAGTGGTCTTGAGTGCTGTTAGAGGTATGAGGGCAGTTATCACTTCCCGGTTGCCCACACCGTGGAAGGATTCTTCTAGAGGTACCTGAAAAGGAAATTGGGTTAGGAGTGGTCTTAATGACCTGAGAGCGTGACCGCAGTGCCCAAGGGACAACTGCTTGAGGTCGGTCACACACGACCTTTTTGTGGGGGATTTTTGACGTGTTAGCTCCGTTCTTCAAAAAAAAAACCTTACCGCCGGAGACGGAAATCCGTGGGATAAGGCGAGGTGTGCATTTTTAGGGTCGACCTTTTCTAACCCCACCCCTCCTTGTGGGAAGGCAGCATCGCTGTCATGCTGGTTGTCTGAAGGAAACACCTTACTGCCGTCACACCTCTGTACAGTCAGCAGTACGACTTCGCCTTCGGACCTTGGGTTTGCTGCTTTTAGTCTCACCGCTCTTCAACCGACCTGTCTGGCATGGTAGGACCTCGAGGAACGACTGTTCCAGCCAGCATAGCTCGATTGCTTCATCACGATAGGCAAGCCCGACCACCACGTCAAGGTAGCAGCAACGATCGGGATTCGATTCATTAAAGGTATGTTCAATGACGTACTATTTCGTACCAACTTAAGTTATCAAGTTTATTTGTCAAATAGATACCGGCTCAGTGGTCTATCGGTTAATTGCTCTGGAGCGAGACTAGTAGGTCCTGGATTCGAATCTCGTGAGTGCGGGATCGTGGATGCGCACTACTGAGGAGTCCCATAATAGGACGAAACGGCCGTCCAGTGCTTCCAGGTTTTCGATGTTGGTCTAGCTTCAGTGGACTAATGAGTTCAACTCTATAAAACTACTAAAATCTCCACCAAACCTCTTCTCAAATGAATCTGTTTGAAATAGGCCATTCAAGAGGTATGCGTGTATACGTAACTCCGTTCTTTCGAAATGTGATAACATTTTCTGATTTCGATGTTTTCTTAAGTAATTTCAATCAATTTAAGCAAACATTTTCTCAGTGAGCTAATAATTTTAAGTTTCACATTAGTGACTGACAATTACCGAAAACCAAGGAGTAATGAATAGCTGTTTCATCCTAGAATGGTACGTCACAACAGATCAAATCAGTAATACTATCAGGGATTAAACTAATGATCGTCAGTCTATCCGATGAACACCTAACTATTAGAATCATAGAGGCGGCTATCTGGTACTATCAACTCAACATACCTCAGTTTGCGATATCGAGCAACGATTATTGGTGACAACTGTTTCATCCTCAAATGAGACCAATTTGTGATGATTACAACTTATGCATTAAATCGATTTCCATAAAGCCCCATCACCTAATCGGTATTTTTATAACTGTTACTGATAGAAATAATAATCAATGGATAGTAATCATAATGTTGTAAGTGAATTGTTCTGTTTTATAACTAAATGTCATGGTGATGTACTCATTGAAGCTCATAAATTGTGATACATTGTGGCCTAGTATATTTATTACATAATCATGTGGGTAATGTATGGTATGGTTAAAAAATGTTCTCAGTTACTTATCTAGTGTTTTGTTGTCCTAATCGATTGTTTGAATAAGTGGGAATGCCTTGAAAGCATCAACTGTATTTAAAAAATTACAGTGTTGGTACTAAAGGAAGCTGTTATTAAAGGCATAGACAATGTAACACTATTGAGGGTGGGTGAACTTCACTCAGATCCATATCTCTGAAGATGAGGCTCTATACGATGAATGTCTCATTGACTGTATTCTATTTAAATGATACATTCTCTATGTTGTTAGCCCGAATTATAATCAACTGAGGTAATAACATTTGGCATCTTAGTGTAACACAAGTTAATCATTCGTACATTTGATATCATAGCGTCAGTAGTGACAAATAATTTTCAAAATAAGTAGTTTTATGAGCTTGGAATATTGATGCTGATGTTAGTTTTATTGAAAGCAACTAGCTGGAGGCATATAGTGAAGTATCCGGTCTGTCACTCGACAGTCATCATACACCACTCACCTCTTATTTATTCAATAGACAATCTAGCATGCTTACACTTGTACGTACACTGTACGTGACTAAAATATACTACTACTACTACTACTACTACTACTGCTACTACTACTACTACTACTACTACTACTACTACTACTACTACTACTACTACTACTACTACTACTACTACTACTACTACTACTACTACTACTACTACTACTACTACTACTACTACTACTACTACTACTACTACTACTACTACTACTACTACTACTACTACTACTACTACTACTACTACTACTACTACTACTACTACTACTACTACTACTACTACTACTACTACTACTACTACTACTACTACTACTACTACTACTACTACTACTACTACTACTACTACTACTACTACTACTACTACTACTACTACTACTACTACTACTACTACTACTACTACTACTACTACTACTACTACTACTACTACTACTACTACTACTACTACTACTACTACTACTACTACTACTACTACTACTACTACTACTACTACTACTACTACTACTACTACTACTACTACTACTACTACTACTACTACTACTACTACTACTACTACTACTACTACTACTACTACTACTACTACTACTACTACTACTACTACTACTACTACTACTACTACTACTACTACTACTACTACTACTACTACTACTACTACTACTACTACTACTACTACTACTACTACTACTACTTTTAAATATTGGCATCCTCTTTAATCTTCTTTCAGAATAATGAGCATAATTCCAATAATATAGTCAAAGAACTATATCCATCCAATTTATGCTGAATATTTTAATATGGAATTTTATCCTAAAACTATTTGAAAATTTATATACTTTTCCTTTCTCTCAAATTTGATCAGATACTGTTTCCGGGATAAACTAGAGTGTTTTGTACGTAGAAGTCAGGAATTGAAATGTACTAGCGTTTTATATAGTAACTTCTGATGACCTTGAGAAACATAACAATAAATATACAGCTAGAAACGTTTTTTTCAGTTCAGGGAGTTCCATTCATTTTCATAAAAAATGTACAAGTAAACTACAGTTGTATTAAGATTGGCTTCTATTCTCAACCATATCTACTAGCATTTCAAGTCATTAAATTGTACCATTTCTAGGATCTGAACTAATGAATTATCATGGACCGACATTTGTCAGTCAAATACAGTTTCCTTTCATACTCCAAGACCATTTTATAGAATAATCACTTCTTCTCTTTTTCTACCTACTCCTAGTGTCGGTAATTACTATACTATATAAAAGTTACTGAGACGACATTTATAACATACACTATTAAAATAGTACTGTACTGAAAGTGACTTTGATTTTTCAACATAAATACTAACTTAGTTTATTTACCTTAATTATTCAACATTACTGCTTTCCCATAACTGATCTCATTGTTATTATTATCCACTTTCGAGGAAAATACTGTTTCCTTTTTAATTATACATAAATGACTATACTATAGTGTCTGTATATGAAAATTAACTAAGGGAAGCAATCATAAGAAATTTTTAACTATTGTCCAATTAAAACCAATTTGTAACTAAGGCGATAAAATTTAACAATCTCCATAAACCTTCTAGTTCTAATAAGAAGCTGTAATCAGTAGAGTCCAACTATATATGAAATGCAACAGTAGCTTATCAATGGTATTGGAAGATGACTGAGTAATACTCCAAATCAATTGAAGTTATAAACCATTTTAAACCGTTTGATATCAACTCAGTGATGTAAATGTCAAACATTTATCTAGAACATAGAAGATCTAGAGTTTGATACCTAGTTGGAGTTGTTGGTACTTACTGCAGAAAAGTCTAATACTAGGATGAAACAGCTATTTAATTCTTCCTGGTTTACGGTAGTTGTCTAATTAAAACCGGTCAATTATTTCAGTTATCAAATTTAACAATCTTCATACAGAGTTTTGTCCGTTAACCGATAACTTTCTGTTTGGTTTACTTACACTTCATTTGATGTCTCATTCTTGTTAAATATTTTCTGCCCGATATATTTGGCTTCACATCCGACACGGTTGGACTACTACCGTAACGGCTTCTCGCTAGAACACCGATCATTCCGTCCCGAAGTCAGTCGCTAGTGAGTACATGACGATCATCAGTATGTGGTTGTGGAGACTATTGGGCTTCAGCGAAATGCTCACACAACATAGTGGATTGACTAAAGTTAGACACTATCACCAGTGCATGCCTTCTCAGTGGTCTAAAGGTTAAGCATTCGCACGCAAGATCGAAGATCCTGGGTTCTATCCCCGCATGCGTGATCATGGATGCACAATGCTGAGGAGTCCCATACTAAGAAGAAGCGTCCTTCTGAAGCTTTCAGTATCCCAATAGCGGCCTAACATAGATAGATTTATAACATAAGTGGAACTAAACAATCTCCAAAACCCTGATAATTAATAACTACATTATTTATCTCCGACTTATAAATTCCAAATCACGCAAACATTCGACTACTTGGAAGTAAGTAACACAATCAGTTACGCCATGGTGGATGGTTGCAATCTACAGGAAAAAACTTTAAATTGATTGTAATTCTGTCGGTCAGCATCATAAAAACTATAAATTAAATATAAAAATTTAATTAAAACAACCCAAAATTTTAAAAGTTGAATTCATGAGCCTAGACCATCATTGAAAACCTAAAGGCAGTAGATGACCGTTTCGTCCTGATATGAGACTCTTCATTAAAGTGCATCCACAATCCCTTAAATGGGATCTGGCTTAAATCAACTCGTGAATTCAATTATTAAAATTATTACAGTCTCCAAAAACCTTTATTATTCTAATAATAAACTCAAGATTTTCCTTAAAATCAATTTGAAGATGGTATAAAGTCTTTTCAATTTTGAAAAATTAATATACTTAAAATGATAATTTATTAATATGATAGTACAAGAGTTATTCATCATATACTTACTTACGTTTGTTACCCATCGTGGAAGAGCATAGGCCACCCACCAGTATTTTCCATTCGACCCTGTCCAAAACAATCCTTGACAGTTCTTTCCAGTTAACACTCATCCTTTTCATATCTACTTCTATTTCCCGGCGTAATGTGTTCTTTGGACTTCCTCTTTTCCGATTCCCTTCAGGATTCCAAGTAAGGGATCGACTCATGATGCAGTTTGCTGATTTTCTCAATGTATGTCCTATCTACCTCCAACGTCTCTTCCTAATTTCCTGTTCAGGTGGAAGCTGGTTTGTCCTCTCCCACAGAAGGCTATTCCTGATAGTATCCGGCCAGTGAATGTTGAATATTTTGCGTAGACAACTACTTATAATTACTTGTACCTTCTTGAAGATAGTTGTAGTAGTTCTCCAGGTTTTAGCTCCGTACAGTAGGACTGTCTTGATGTTCGCATTGAAGATTCTCACCTTGAAATTAGTTGAGAGTTGTTTTGAGTTCCATATGTTCTTCAATTGTAGAAATGCTATCCTTGCTTTGCCAATCTTCGCCTTTACATCTGCATCAGGTTCTCTTTGTTCATCAATGATGCTTCCCAGGTACGTGAATAATTCCACTTCTTCCAGAGTTTCGCCATCAAGTGTGATTAGGTTGGTTGGTGTTCTCCGTGTTTTATTTGATAATCTTGCTTTCACCTTTGTGTATGCTGTAGCCTATTAATGCAGAGGCTGCTGCTACATTTGCTGTCTTCGTCTGTATTTGTATTAATCATATACAACTCATTAATATGAGTATCTATAGTTTGTTATCTATTTCAGATCACTAAGAAACCTTTCACTCTCTCCTAAATTACATATTGCATAAATATATTCATAAAGAAAAAGGCAAGTTATTCTCATTAGGGAATCATAGAAAATAATTAGTCCTAAAATCAATAAGTGATCTACTATTAATTAGCTATTTTGGTACATAATTATGTAATCTCCGACAGATCAGGAATTTCTATAACATTCAATAAATTCATTTAGTATTGTTTTGTTTGAATCTTCCCATCGATGTGTTAGGACTGCGATTGATCAGTCTCTTATTAGCATAATTGCATCCTGTGCGTATTACCTCGATATTGCCTGAAGTCACAAGCATGATACGCAAAGATGGATAGTGGCTAGCAGTGGAATCCAGTTTGACGCGCGTTTTATCCTATTTGAGACTCGTCAGCTAGATGTACCTACATCTCAGAGTTGATGTTCACTCTGGGACTCGAACCCAGTATCTTTCGCTTCAAACGCCATCGCGTTATCCACTCAGTTATTGATTCCTGATAGCTGCATGCTTATGAAATGGGGTAAAGTTTAAATTTACTTAGTATTGTTTGTTTGAATCTGTCCATTGTTATTTAGGACTGAAATTGATCAGTCTCTTATTGGCATATGTGAACCTCAACATTGAGATGCAGGTACATCCAGCTGACTAGTCTTAAATAGGACAAAACGCCCATCAAACTGGATCCCACTGCCAACCACTATCCCTCTTTGCTTATAACATTCATTTCTTATTTTAAGCTATAAATTATTTGAAAATATTGAACATGTTAAAGTAAACTATAGACGATTTTCATCATGAACTAATAATATTAACCAAAGAACTATTGAAAGCTGGAATGTACTGAATAACAGCTCAGTACTATTAAGATCATGGGATGATCTAAGTTTGACAGTTATCGAAAACTCTGAAAGTACTAGACTCATATTCTGTCCTAATATGAGACCTTTTAGCATTGAGTATCTTAAACGCTGTTGAGGATCTAGCACAGCTTCTTCTGTCTCGCATACTAGGGCCTAACCTTTTTCATAGTCATATCTTGGGACGCCTCAGAATAAATAATAACTTCTTAATTCAATACTTAAAAACTTTATTGTGACAAAAAGGGTTCTCAGACCTAATAATCCAGAATTAGAATAAATTTCTGCATTCACATAACTTGAAATCATAATTATTGAAAAATCTATTTTATAAATTCTTTCTTATTCATCTTCAGTCGCAATAAAATTCTGCCATTTCAGCTGCTACAATCCTCTTTTCATTCATCAGTTATTGGATGTACAAACTAGTATTTAATTGCCTTTACTTTCTTCCAACGACAAATATCAAGCACAGATGTGTCAGTGTTTAGCATCTCAGTACGTTTTAAGCTTGAATATGAATAGTTAACATTTATAGTCATTCAGTTAAAACAAATTTCAAATAAAAGTGTTCATTAAATCATTTATACAGTCGTAAAATAAGTGGAGTGATATTTTGAACAAGCCACTAACCATATACAACCTCTTACAAAAGATTTTTGATTTGTGTGAGGGCTGTGATACTGCCTACGTGCCCAAACAGAAACAGGTCCTTTTTTCTTAGGAGGCCACACCCCGAACCATTGACCCAAGGGTCTGATCCATAAGTCAGTGGAGCATCGTAAGGAGATGCAGTTCGATGATAGCCGGTGGCCAACTATTGTTTTATACATCATTTCTTCCCTCAGGATATTGGAGCCCTTGTGCACCATTGGTTTGGAATTAGGGTTTTCCAACTCCCTTAGGTAGATTGTAGCAAGCCCATTCAACTACTGTATTTTTTGTGTGCTCTCTGTAATCTTAACATTTAATCCACTTCGTAAATTTATATGTGAGTCTGATTGAGCGCATGTGTCTGCACATCAATCCTTAATCTGTTCTCTCATTAGTTGTAAACAAAGACAATCAATAATTTATCCACAACCATTA